AAGACGTCGAAACGTTAGCCGAAAATAAACATCATTATCAACCTCGTGTAAGCTCATCAAAGAAAGAATACATATTAATCCAGAGTACCTCAAGAGTTTTGTGCACTTGTATTCTCGTTTGCTGAATGAATTCTAACCACAAGAAAACAAATTTTCCTTCGATCTACAAAGGCCGGAATTGGCGTGAGATCTAAAGGAAGGATGCTGGAAAACTGGTAGTTGGGGCTTTTAGGTGAAAGCAGGCCCGAAAAACATTCAGTATCCCAGTGAAAGAAGACGGCAGATCCTCAAGGAGCTCAGAAGCTCATTGATTAAGCTGACCATCTTTATGGTTGATGGTCGCAAGAAAAGAATTTGCATGGAAGGCGTGTTGGGTGTTCCTGAACTGCTTACCTGGTCTACACATCGGCCAGTGAACCACTGAAACGTTTGCAAAAGAGCTGGCAAGATAGATTACTCTTTTCCAATGTAATGCAACGGTTAGGTTTCGTTCAAGAGCAATTAAAACGATTTAGTATTGTATAAAGCAAAGTGAATTGCAAATCGTTTTCACTCACCACCAGGTACACATGTACGAATTAAGTTGCTTAGTAATGAAATGGAAACTTTTACAAGGGACACATACGTGGTCGGTAATAAAATGATCCTTTGAAAGAACCTTTCTCTACAAGCTGTTCTAAAATGAAATGTCGTAAACTCACGAATAGTTGAAGTTTAGGTTGCTAATGCTACTACATTAATAACGCTGATTAATTAATTAACACCAATTTGTAGTGAGGATAAGGAAAACGAAGTAAGTTATGAAATTCCATGTCATTCACAAAACAACAAGATCAAACGAGCACAGTAGAGAGTTTGTTGTTGCAGTCAGGTCCAGAGGGCTCTCGGATTTTTTGTAGATCGAAGATGGTGACTTTAGTGAGTGCTATTATTTGTATTTACTAAAATACCCATTGTTTTAACAGTATCGTTTTTTTCAGTTTACAACAAACGAAAAACGCTACCCCGCACCTTCCAACTCACGTGTGGAAACTACTGTAATTTACATGATATCAACTTGAATGAGAAGGAAGAGCCATGTTACAAGGCATGAGAGACAAGCTTATTTAGCATATTTGGTCATTTAACACCTATAGCTTACTAGACCAATAAAGGTATTCGACAAATTGGGTGGTAGTACTGTTGATATTCACAAAATTCTAGTACATAACCGATAAAATTACAATCAACAACTTTAATACAGCAACTAGAGGCATGTCAGTAAACTAGGTCTTAGAAAGATCGAGACAAATTGATGCTGAACAAGCTTGGCTGACATAAATTTCGTACTGAAATATTTGCTCGGCGTTCCACATGACACGTCGCCATATCCGCCATAAATATGGCCCATCGTTTATCCCAGAGATACCGGACGTGATCTCACCCCGTATCCTCGCATCGATTTCTGATGTGGGTTGATGCAATCATCAACCATATACGACTCTAATCAACTGTTCTTCCTCCTTGGAAGGCATGTAAAGAAGCGGTGGATTTTTTGAGAAACTGTCGATCATTTGATTGACATATAGATTCTCATCTTTCTGTCTGTCCTACTGAAGCTTTTTGAGTAATAAGTTGAAAAGAAAACGACGTATTACTGCAGTAGAAAATATGAAGCTCTCTAAAGTTTTCGGCGTTGAACAATCCCTGAGAGAAGCGCCATGCACTCGACTTCATTAAGCATCATTGGGGGCGATTGAATGCATATCTGGCCTTCAAAATGACTCACGGTGGCCTATCGATGTATTGAGCCAGTGCTGCTATCCTCCTAGACAAAACTGGTACCAATTTGTCGACCCCAGAGGAATGGAAGACTTAGTGAGCCATGGGTGCGGGGATCGATAACATGAGTGTATCGCAGGGCGCCTCCGGCCACCGCCCCACACGTGCCCCACTACAAAACATATGTTGGTTTAATTATAACAGCCTTCTAATACGATTTGTACGATAGAGCCATACAAAATTCTCTTAAATAATTCATTTTGTAGTAGTCTTAATGCTCGGAGTTTCTAAGCGCCAAATTTCAAGAACATGGACACTTGGTTTCTAATGGCCAGGAATTCATTTCGGCTTCAAAGCTCGCTGATGCGGCATGTTCTAGCGCATTCTCGAGAAGGAGATTTGTTTATGAATTGAAATTAAGATGATTTCTGTCTAAATAGTCCGGAAAAGTAAAGCTCACTGACCACAATGTGTTCAGCGCACATCCGTGTGAGCATCCGACTGCGAACGAACTCAAACACTGAACAATTTCAGACGAGTGTTAATTTAATGCTTTCGAAAGACTCTAATCTTATAGAACATCACCTGAGAAGCAGCTACAGAGAAAAATGCTATATATGCTTTCTTACAACATCGAACTTTGCGGTCGTGTATTCTGGCAACCATTTCCATTATAACATCTTTATCTAGTGCCTCATCAGCAACTAATTTCTGCTATAAATTTATGCCAAATGCTTTTAATAAGTGTTTTGTAGCTGTTTTGCTGTGGAATCACCTAATAATGTGAATTTTTCCACAAAACTTGAATTTCATGATGCCGCAACTCTGCCGCGTTGTATTTAAACCAATATAAACTCTTCTTAGAAAGCAATGTAGCAGTGGAAAGTTTGCATTGTGTTAGGTAAGTATGTTTTCTATTTACATTACAAGTTTCATTAGATATTATGCATTAAACACGTCTTTGTAGAGCTTTTTCCAAGCGCCACATAACACAGTGCCAGACAATTTAGTTCCGCGGCAGGGTCGACGCGGCTGGAGGCACGAAGGGGGAACCTCGTCTGGTAGATAAGCCACAGCGACGGACAGCAGCCAGCTCATTGTTCGGCGCTCGTCTGATCGCGATGTCTGCCGTTGCTACTGGTTCGTCTAGCGAGGTTGCGGAACCTTCCAAGCCAAAAGAAGCCAAGAGAGCACTGTCTCATCCGGCGTACTCCACCATGATCCGCAAGGCGGTGTCCGAGTTGGAGGAGAAGTCTGGATCATCGAAGGCTGCTATTCTGAAGTTCATGTTGTCGCACTACAAGCTTGGAGACAATATCGCTAAGGTGATTTCCCTACCCATCTTGGCATCTGATTTCGTTCTGACTCTTTGTAATGTAGTTAGTTACAGATCAACTCCCACCTCCGCGTTGCACTTAAGAAGGCTGTCGTGAAAGGTGAATTGAAGCAGGTTAAGGGAAACGGAGCATCTGGAAGCTTCAGGCTTGGTAAGAAGAAGTCCGTGTCGGCGGCTAAGAAAGTAGGTGGTGGACGTCCTGCACATTTTGTTCCGCATTTTTCGGATGGTATAGTAGTGGATACTTGGTTTTCAGCGTGTTGGCAAGAAACTGGCCGCCAAAAAGCACAAGTGTTCCAAAGCTACGATGAAGAAGCCGAAATCGGAAAAGAAGACCAAGAGCACGAAGAAGACCAAGGCTTCCAAGACTAAGACTGCAAAGAAGCCCGTCAGCAAAGCTGTAAAGCCAAAAGCCAAGAAATCGAATGTTTGGGGCTCTAAGACGAAGAAACTGAGGACGTAGATTCGTCACTATGCATCCCTACTCTTCCTGAGATCTCATGCACATGGTTGTATTTTTTCACGTGCGTTAATAAATACATACATCCTTGTAATTTGTAGTGTCGCTGAGTGGTCAAGTGTCGTCTGGGTGTGTTGCTGGGACTGAATGAACTCTTAGTTGTGTGAACCCTAACTATTTCGAACAGAGTTGTATTCAAATAGGGATCACATCTCTTGGTGGGGCCTTTTGCTACATACGGCCACGTTTAAGCGGCAGCGTACAGGATTTAAGATGGCGACTGGAATCAATGAGCTCGTGCATTGAAATCGCAGACGATCCATGTTGTTATGTTTGGATGCGAATAGACCCTGTATTGTCTTAAGGGTCTCTTGTTTCTTTCTATTCGTATCGGTTAGTTCGTTTGGTAGTCGCTTCTCTTTTTCTCCTCCTTGTTCCACCATCCGTAGCCGCCATTAGCGGATGTGGTCAGGTGCCGCTGCTGCCTAAGTGGTTTGTCCTAGAATGAGTTTGTGCTTTAATGGCTCGACAGGAAGCCTGCTGCGTCCTCATTAGGATTCTTGCGGTGCGGCAAGGACTTGTTGACCGCCTAGTCAGGAAAAAAGCGATGGTATTAACTTTTAGGTCAAAATCGTCTCCGCTATGCTTTTTTATCCCATTCGTGCCTAGTGGGGTACTTTGTCTTGCTTTTTCGTTTGCCATCTGAGTGTTCCTATACATGGATACATAAAGGACAACGCGATCCTTCATATATTTATCACTGCAATTATTACAAGAGATCAGGTATATCGTACCTGAGCTCATACCATCGCCCTCTCTACCTTAAGTGCAAATTACACAATTCTCTGTTTTACATAGACGGTCATAGAGAACGTTACGATGTAACTGATAACGATGAGCATCCAGTCGTGCTTCAGTTATAGGCCAGATTCTCCTAGCCTTGCCCTTCTTAAGCATCGCTTTATAGCTAGACTTACTTCAATGCTGAAGACAAGACAAAGACAATTTTATTTTAGTCAGATCCTTCGTTTGGTGCGCCACTTTCCTAAATCAATTTGTCCACTCCTTGTTGTACCTAACGTTAGCACAGCTTTGTGGAATCGATGCACCACTGGTCATAGTTGGAGATTATGAATATGAATAGCATTCAATACATTGAACCTGGTGGAGTAACTATTCCTTACATAGTTCCTATTTCTATGTTACCTTTTGCCTTCTACAATAGCTGTCTGCTTGTAATCGTTATACATGTATTCTCGCAAATTCTGTAAATTGTCTCTTAAAGACCATTTCATGCAGTTGTCTCGCAGATGGCTGGAAAGGGAATCAGTCAGCTGAATGTACTTTCCAGCATCTGCCATCCCAAAGAAGTTTCCGAACAAGCACCTGCGCCCTTTCACATGTAGCCCTAACAGATTGTGCTAGTAAAAAAAAACCATTATAACCTCTCTCTAGGCGCTGTCTTTAGTTGCCTCTGGTAATGCTCCACCCACTACAGAAGTAATACAGGCAGCCCATCGGCATTCGTCTTCAAGCGTTCGTAGCGTTCTTCCAGTGCTTATATTCCAGTCCCTCAGTTCCTCAGTGCTCTAACACCGATGTGCGCCTAGCTTCCTTCAAGTGTATCACTTGTTCTCATTTCAATCGTTTCGACGTTTCGACGGCTAACGTTTCGACGTCTTCGTCTTCCTCAGAGCCGATGATCCGAGTCGATGGTCCTCGCTTGTTATGGTCCAAGGTGGTCCATGGTCTTGATGGTCCAAGCGAGGACCATCGACTCGGATCATCGGCTCTGAAGAAGACGAAGACGTCGAAACGTTAGTCGAAAATAAACATCATTATCAACCTCGTGTAAGCTCATCAAAGAAAGAATACATATTGATTAGTGATACCGAGGTTCAGGGAAAGTCGGTTTCGAAATATTGCTCTGGACTAATTCCACAAATCCGAAAATGAACCACAGGGAAGAATGCCTCATTATCACGCGTTATATTGGGCAGTATATAGGCCTACTATTCTGATGGAAGGGGCACATTCCGGTTCCATGTGAATTCTGTGTGGTTGGTATGCATCGACTGGACCATTATCCAACTACAGTCTTACAGCTGACTGTGGAAGAGGAAGCAGCGAGTAGAGGATGCGGTCACCATTCTACTTCCACGCCGCCGTCGACGTAGACAGGTTCAACAAAGGCGTTACTACCTTGCTAGGATTGCTTATGATCATTCTTACAGACGTCATGAAAAAACAGACAAGAAAAGGATATCAAGAATGCAGTCCAATTATAAAGTATGGTATATTCTGACGTATAGCAGTACTACGTGTTAAGTGTATGACCTTTGCTGTCACTGATTTGGAGGAAGATCGATTTACACGAATTAATCTCTGATTTACTAAGGCTCTTAAATTTTACATTCATATCCATTTTAAATGGCTCCTCTTTCCATCTAGTGTGTGAAACGCAGCACTTTTTCAATTCGATTTGTTTTCTCATATCCATCGTTCACAAAGATTTTCCAAGTTTTGCGTGTGCGCTCTGCTGCTTCTCAAATATTTTCACCTTTATTATTAACGTCATTGAATACTGCTCGAGCCGAAAGAATAGGTTCTCCCTGAGGTGAGCATGGAAAACCCTTGCCAGGTCAACCGAAAAATCCATGATACCTAATTTTAATCGTAGTAGACATAGAACAGTTTCTTCACATACTAACCACTCGCAATGTGTCTTCGATTAAGTACTCCAAGTGGGAATCATTACGTACAAAATGGGTAAAGTGCCGATCTCCCGTTGGAATATTAGTCTGTGTTGTGTGAGATCTCCCATGATGAGCAGCCATTCTACCCTGCTTTCCATTTTTGGAATCGTGTGGTTTATGCAGAACGCCTGTAGGGTCTTATTCTCTGAAGTTTCAAATTCTTGCTCCAAGATGCCGACTTCTATTTCAAAATCTTTGCCGCTTTGTGTCTGCGAACTTTGTTGGCTTAGTGGAGAATTTTGCTCAAGTTCACCCATAGCGCTTTGGTGGTCTCATATACGAACACGTAGTGATCTAGCCTCTTCGCAAAATACTCGCGCCTCTGTACGCTTCACAAGAGGTCATGTGCATTGCAGTCGAGCTAGTGCGATCAATATCTCTACCGTTGGGGCAAATTATGCAATTTTCACTATAATGATGCTATGATATTTGCAAAACTCCGAAGCGCAGCTGTCTGCAATGAAAATGGAACACGCTATTACCTTTGCAGGGACTATTGCTATAAAAATACTAGTTAATGGGAAAGTAGTTCCTGGAAAGGGTAATATAGCGTGTTCGATCCCCACCGAAGACAACTGCGGTACGTAGTTTTGCAAATATCTCAGCATTATAAAAGGTCAGATTATATTTATGGCAAAAGAGATGGTTAAAACTTAAATTTAAAATCTCACTACGCTGTTGATTCTTGATACGCATCTCCCTTAACTGGTCTTTTTAGAGCGTCTTATCGCTACACTTATTCCGTTGGAAGTGCAGGTATGAATGGATGAGACCTCATTCTTCTTAGACATATTTTTTATGGACATGGTCCCTTCACTAAGCCCATCCCAAGAGCTAACGTACCGTAGTAATTAGAAATGGGTAATTCCCGTGTCACTCTAGATATTCTTTTTTATTGTTCCTCACAAACGCCTGTGTGCGAAGGTTGAGAAGAAAGTCCATAAAGCAGCATGATTTTTTGCTTCGGTCTGGTCATTATTTGCTAATGTTGGTGCTTTGGATAGGTTAATCGGCTCGTTGAAAAATGGGAGTTAGTCCTTCATCTTTTTATCGCAGGTGAAATTCATGTACTCTACTAACTGTTGGCTTAACTATAACTCTCCAGAGGGAAGGAAGGCTTGGTAGGTCAAGGCCGCGTGTGGCGCAGTGGTTGGAGGAGCCACTGCGAACACACACGTGGAATCGATCCTCGAGCCCATGGCCCACAAAGCCTTCTATCTCTCCGGGTCGGCGAGTTGCTACCAGACTTGTCTGCGAGAATAGCAGCACTGGTTCGATACATCGGTAGGGTGCCGCGAGTCATTTTGTAAAGGCCAGATATGCTTTCAATCACCTTCAACGATGCTTAATGAAGTTGAATGCATACCGCAAGTCATTGTAAAAGCCGTATATGCATTCAATCACCTCCACCTATGCCTAATGAGGTCGAGCGCATGGCACATCCCTCAGAGATAGATCAACGCCGAGAGCTTTGTTTTTTATCCCTTTTACAATATGTGGGATATCTGCAGTTTTGATACAAATACGAAATCGCTCCATTCTCGCATATAGAAATTACTTAATAAACGACTTTCTTTTCTGAAAACAAGTAGGCATTTCGTACTTGCGCATGTGGTAGGTGTATGCATGGTGGACATGACAGAAACCATTAGTTGAGAAGAACAGTACTACTGGTAGGCTTGTAGAGTTTATGAACGGCGGCGGCAATACTGCGGCAAGAACGCCATGTGCACATCAAAACAACCGTTTTCTAATGAGACTGGATTGATCGCCGAATCCATAAGAGTAGTTGAAAAGGTGGTACACGTCTTTTACTTAAACACATCTGCTTTCATTTTTATTCCTATCTAGTCAGGATGCCACCTAGACCTGCACCCATCCAATAAAAAAAAGTGAATCGGTGCAGTGATTATAAATGAAATAACAGCTAGTGCCCAAAATTTTTATCTAATAGCCTCTACACTTGGCAGACAACACTGTTTCCTACAGTTCTTGGTATTCAGTCGAAAAATAAAAGTCCTAGAAA